CCCCTACCCCCCCCCCCCCCGCCCGTAGTGAAGACATAGCCTGAGTTATCCTTCTTACACCTGTTCTATAGCTCTGCGAACTGATTTTCGGGGGTGAGCATCTTTCATAAGCATGAAGACTGTACAGTTTAAAAGCTGGGGGGAAATGTAAACTCCTGAAGACATAGTGTATGTGGGCCTACTTTCAGGTGTTTTATGAAGACTAATATGGCTCTGTATACTTCTTGTATCTGTACTAGAGAGGGGGATCATTTCTGTAATTGCGGTGGAGAAAGCTGGAAGTCTTTCCCTGAAACACCCCATCTTATTGGCAGATGGTGTTCCTGCTCAGAACGGTTGAGTGCAACTGATGGATTGAGGCAGGTGGTTGGCTCCTAATTCAACCTGGTTATAAGGGAGGTGGGAATGGCTCACAGGTAAGAGAAAATCTAGAGTGTATGCTGAGGAGTCCTGACAGAGCAACCCTAAGAGCAGCCAAGTCTGGGGAGAAGGTTTGAGCTGATTGTTGTACCTTATTTGGTAATGAAGCCAAATCCACGAAACGGATGGATTTGGATTGCATACTGTGGCATCGCTTGTAGAATAGTTTGGAAAGAGATTTGGAAAAATGCTTGTATATCACCTCTTTAGTTACTAGATTGCAAAACACCCTGAAGTAATCCCTCACCCCACCTCTGTAGTTGTAAGGATAAAAATGAATAACAGAATTATGGTGAATTTACTGTGTGGTCTTTGTCCCCCTACTCCCCATTTAAAAACCAGGCAGCATAGATTAAAATATCAGTCTTCTGGTTTTTTACAAATACCATTTTTAAGTATATCACTGTTTGTTTGTTTTTCTCTTTAAAAATACAGAACCTTGTTTTAGACATCATGCCAACTTTAAAATTCTTTGCTGCCACATAAGGAATTCTTCATTTACTAGGAGTTATCTGGGAGACTTTCACTGAGACACTTGACTGAAATATTTTAAGTAATTTTCAGAATATATGATTGTTCAGTAGGTACCAAAATCTGAATCACTGTATATGTCAGAGCTCATTTACCCTGCCCAAGTTTTTTTTTCATTTGATACTGATTTTAGGCCCAATATGCCAGCAACACAATCCATAACATATTATTTAAGATAATTTTTATAGCTTTTGTAAGCAAGACATGCTCTCTTGCATGCAATTCCAGTTTGTGATAGTAAAGCTCTTCCTGCCTAGAGGAGGAGTGTCATGTGAAGGATAGATAACAACTTTTACTTGGACTCTTGTGGGAAATTTTCCCTTCAGAAGTAGCCTGTGTATAAATCAGTGGTGCAGACAAATATAAAATGCAGCGGTAGTTTTATCTTGTAATGCCTTTCTTCCAGGTTTTCAAAGAGCTTCCCATGCACTAGCTACTTAATACTTACAGAAGTAGGTGAGCAGTATGGTAACCATTTCACAGCTGTGCCCAGATTCACATATTGAGAATGTAGTGAAGCCACTAGTAGAACTCAGGTTTCCTGACTTACAACCCCTGTTCTAATGGCTAGGCAACACTTCTTCCTTTTTGGGGGTGGAATTCATAAGAGATTGTAAAATTAAAGTCTGCATGAGAAGACATTATTGGTCTGATCTTCCTAAAATGTGTGCACACAAAACATGCTTTTAATTGCAGGCCCATACAGTTACACAAGGGCCCCACTGGATCTCGCAGAAAGCATTGAACTCTTCAGCTGCTTCCACGTGACACGTGGATGGGGAGAGAGGCAGTGCAGTGTGAATGACAGGTGAAGATGTATGATCTTGTCTCTTATGAGAATTCTGCAGCAACAGAGCTTTTTTCATATCTTCAACATCATTACTCTTCACACTTGTCATTCTGCTTATTACAGTATATTACGAGCTTCTTTAAAGAAACAGAATAGCACACTGTCCTCTTGACAGGTAGAACAATTATTAGAATTTCAAGTACTTATTACTTGAAGTGGTGAAATCAGAACAATTACTCTGTCCTGGCTTCAAGTCTCTTGCAATGTAATTATTTCAAGCTTCTCTGTTTTCAGAAACAGCTGCAGTTTTTGTTTTGAATGCTGATGGTCATTCCTTTTTCATTTTCCTGCTCTTACCACTTTGTACCTTTACCTTGTAATTGGCTGTTGCTCTTTTTCAGAAGAAAAGTAACTGGTGTCCTTCCATCCACAGAAAGGGCCCTCATCAGGGACTGACAGAGTGAAGAAAGGTGGATCCTATATGTGCCATAAGGTAAAGCTAAAAGACTTACAGCAAACTTCACTGGGTTTAGCTGTCCGGCTATTGTTAGTAATTACTGCTTTCTATTTTTGTCTGCATGTATTTGTGATTATCTAATGAGACTAAGATGAAGTAAATACATTTAGGCTATTAGTACATAATAGGAACCTGATACATGTTACACAGGAATAGTTCAAAAATTCTGCATAAACATTATATGGCTACATTTTTGAGTTGCTCAGATAATTATCATGGTAGTACCCTTGAAAGGATATGTAAATATCTCAATGAAGCAAAGTCATGTTCCCATATTACCAGAGGTGATAAAGTACTAGTTTTCGACATCTAGAGATGTGATCTCAGAATTTAGCTGTCTCGGCTCCATAGGAGACAGTAGCCAATTTTGCCACTAATCTCCATCTACTGGTCTAGTTAATGCCACTTCTAGCAACGTCTAGGTTTGGCATGATGCTAACTTGGTTGTAGAGGCTCCACATCGTTCAGTGCAACAAACAGCCTCTTACAAAGTTAATCAAATCAATATTGTATTGTACCATTTTACCCTGGCTTGACATGAGAGCTGGCAAAAAGAGAATTTACTTTTTGCAGATGTTGTCAGATCCAGGCTTGCAAAGTTATTGCAGTGTGAGTCCTTAATGGTTACTTCACTCAACCAAATATTGTCTTGTAAATGATGGAAAAGTCCTCAACTGCTGGTACTTCCCACATATCATATGTGCTCTCCTGGGTACTCTGGAGACACCATTGTATTCCAGACCTTGATGATTGTTATCATTGGAGGAAAGGAAACCTAGCTTCTCTTCCAGAGGATGGTGTAATTTATGGTTCTTGGATTTTTGTATGTAGAGTCTCCCGAGCAGCTTTCAACCATTTTCAGTACGCACTCTTGAAGTTGATACATAGTATTCAGTGTTTTTTTTGGAGGTGTGTGTGTGTGTGGGGGGGGGGAGTTGATTATCTTTTTATTATAGCAAAGATTACTGGAGATCTTGGGGGCTCCCATACAATTTTTTTCTGACCAAAACTTTCCTTTTTAGAACAGATGTTAAAATAAAACCTTGTGGTGCCCAGGAATCAATTAGATGAGAATTACTGGAGTTGTTCTCTCCTCCTTTCCTAAAGCATCTTAATGTTTAAATGTTTAGGAACCTTCTACAAGTTAAGCAGATGTACTTATAAGTGCAAAGGCTTTTGACAGAGCACATCTTATTTCTTAAGACTTTTGAGAGAACATGAACTTTTTGGAGTTTCCATTTTATAAAAAGGTAAATGTGCCTATGTTAAAACCACTTATTTTATAAAGCATGGTAATTTAAGCAATATCTGATGATGACATTTGATCACAAAATTACTCTAGTTATTGCTAAAATTAGCAAGTAGTCATGGAAATATGCAAAATCACATGCTCCAGAATTCAGTGTGTTGCCTTTTTTTGCTGTAAAGCCAAAAATTCAGTATTGGAGAAGGGAACTGATGTTCCTTCTCTTTTAATAATCATGTTTCCAGAATTGCAGAATGTAGCAATGCTCATGTTCTTTCTGTACTTTTTCTTGCAGGTAGTTCTCTACCATGTAGTTTTCTTGCAGTTTGGGAGCTGTAAGCATTAAATCAACTAAATACTGGTGAAATAGGAAAATTTAAATAAAAGATGACAGGTTTCAGAGTAGCAGCCGTGTTAGTCTGTATCCACAAAAAGAAGAACAGGAGTACTTGTGGCACCTTAGAGACTAACAAATTTATTAGAGCATAAGCTTTCGTGGACTACAGCCCACTTCTGTATCC